AGGACTTATCTGGAGAGAAGTCACAAGCCCAGGACCGGATTTTGTATAAAGACCCGAGCAAAACATTTGTTCTCAGTGCGATGAGTCTGGTGCTGTTCATTTTCAGCATAACGCGCCCAGCACTGAGAAGAAGTTAAAAAAAATCTAATCTGCAGCTCCTGTAAATAAAAAAAAAAGGCTGACATGCCCTCTAACACTTAGGGGTCTATGTATGCAAAAATTTGCTTTCTGAATGTCTCAGCATTTGTGCAAAAGTCTAAACCTCAGATGAGCAATCCTCATTCAGATCACTTTTCAGAGGTGATTGACAGGTGGTACCTCCTCAACCTCTGTGTTTACCCCATTTTCCCCCATCTACTTGAATGGGTCATGTTTGGTGAGCTTTCCATCTGTGATATGTTGGATTGTTTTTTCCACAGACATCAAGCAAAGCAAAAACAACTGTGGCATGTAAACACCATTTGCTGCAAAAAATGTGGCTCAGCTGTGTGTTATTAATGCCCCCCAACCATTAATCTAAATGAAGCTGAATGAATCAGCTACTGCAGAAAGTGAACTCCTATACAGAATTGATACAATTGGTTGAATGTTCTTGGACTATTCTAGTTTAGTATACTTAAAGTGTTACTAAACCCACAACAGTAAAATCAGTCTGTATATGCAGTAAACAGGGGCGGACTGACAATTTGGGGACTCTGGCACTGCCTGAGGGCCTGGGGTCAGTAGGGGGCCCCACAAGATGCCCCTGATACCTTTCTTAGGCTTTTTTAGGTGTGCTTTGATTGTGGGCAAGGACACAGGGGCCCCATGATCCCCTATTGCCTGGGGGCCCCATGAGTTGTCAGTCCGCCCCTGGCAGTAAAGCATGCTTGTTATACTCACCGTGGAACCTAAGGGGTTAATCCTCTGCATTGTGTAAAAAGGATGTATGATCCTGTCTTCTCTGATCCTCCCCTTCTTCTACTGTCCCCAACAGTGGTATCACTAGGGTTGGTGTCACCTGGTGTGGTGAAGCATGGTGTCACCCCCCCCCCCCCCCCAAATATTTATTTCCTGTTTTCTGAAAGTGTGCCAAAGATGCAACATGGCGGACGTTTGGTGTGCTTTCAGAAAATGCAGAAAAAAAATGTGCAACCTAATAGAAATCTATAGGACTGCAGTTATAACTGTAGGTAAAGTGCAGGAAAATCCCCTTTATATTACACAGCCCCCTGCACTTCTGGACACCTTCGCATTACACAGCCCTATGCATCTCTGGACCCCTTCACATTACACAGCCCTCTGCACTTCTGGACCCCTTCACATTGTACAGCCCCCTGCACCTCTGGACCCCTTCACATTACACAGCCCCCTGCACCTCTGGACCTCTTTATATTATACAGCCCTCTGCATCTCTAGACTTCTTCACATTACACAGCCCCTAGACCTCGGGACCCCTTCACATTACACAGCCCTATGCATCTCTGGACCCCTTTACATTACACAGCCCCCTGCACCTCTGGACCCCTTTACATTACACAGCACCTGCACCTCTGGACCCCTGCACATTACACAGCCCCCTTTACATTACACAGCCCCAATGCACATTACACAGCCTCCTCTGCACATTATATTTCCCCCTGCACATTAAACAAGCCCGTTGCACATTACACAGCCCTCTTTACATTACACAGTCCCCTGCACATAGCACAGCCCCCCTTTACATCACACAGCCCCCTTTACATTACACAGCGTCCTTGCACATTACACAGGCCCCCTGCACATTACACAGTGGTCCCCATTATATCCTGCACCCTCCTCTCCTGTACACAATGGTCCCCATCATATGGTACCTGTCATACCCCCTCCACACTCCTTTCCTGTACACTATGGTCCCCATCATACCCTCCACACTTCTTTCCTATACACAGTGGTCCCCATCATACCCTCCACACTCCTGTACACAATGGACCCTGTCATATGCTTCCCATCATACCCCCCACACTCCTTTCCTGTACACAGTGGTCCGCATCATACCCCCCCCCCCCCACTGCTCTGCTGTAAGTGGTCCATGTCATAATCTCCACACTCATGTCTTTCACACAGTGGTCCCAATTACACCCTCCACACTCCTCTCCTGTACACAATGGTCCCCATCCCATGGTCCCCATCATATCCTCCACTCTCCTTTCTTTTACACAATGGTCCTCATCATATGCTCCACAATTCTCTCCTGTACACAGTGGTCCTCATTATAGGTCCCCGTCATACCCTTCACACTCCTTTCCTGTACATAAAGGTCCCCATCATACCCTCCACACTCATCTTCTGTACACAGTGGTCCCTGTTATACAGTCCCCATCATACACCTCACACCTCCTCATGTACACAGTGGTCCCCATCATACCCTACCACACTCCTCTGCTGTAAGTGGTCCATGTCATAATCTCCACACTTATGTCTTTCACAGAGTGGTCCCAATTACACCCTCCCACACTCCTCTCCTGTACACAATGGTCCCCATCCCATGGTCCCCGTCATACCCTCCACTCTCCTTTCCTGTACAAATGGTCTTCATCATATGCTCCACAATCCTCTCCTGTACACAGTGGTCCTCATTATATGGTCCCCGTCATACCCTTCACACTCCTTTCCTATACATAATGGTGCCCATCATACCCTCCACACTCATCTTCTGTACACAGTAGTCCCTGTCATACAGTCCCCATCATACACCCCACACTCCTCTCCTGTACACAGTGGTCCCCTTTATACTCCCACTCCTCTTGTGTACACAGTGGTCCCTGTTATGCACTCCAAACGTCTTTCCTATGCACAGTGGTCTCCATCATAACCCCACACTCCTCTCCTGTACATAGTGGTCCCCTTCATATCCCCCCACACTACTCTCCTGTACACAGTGATCCCCATTATACTCTCCACACTCTTCTCCTGTACATAGTAGTCCCCATCATATCCCCCCACACTACTACTCTCCTGTACACAGTGATCCCCATTATACTCTCCACACTCTTCTCCTGTACATAGTGGTCCCCATCATATCCCCCCACACTACTCTTCTGTACACAGTGATCCCCATTATACTCTCCACACTCTTCTCCTGTACATAGTAGTCCCCATCATATCCCCCCACACTACTCTCCTGTACACAGTGATCCCCATTATACTCTCCACACTCTTCTCCTGTACATAGTGGTCCCCATCATATCCCCCCACACTACTCTCCTGTACACAGTGATCCCCATTATACTCTCCACACTCTTCTCCCGTACATAGTGGTCCCCATCATATCCCCCCACACTACTCTTCTGTACACAGTGATCCCCATTATACTCTCCACGCTTTTCTCCTGTACACATCAGTCCCCCCATACTACTCCAAACTCCTTTCCTGTACACAGTGGTCCTAGTAGCATGCATTATATTTGAATCTGTTTAGGCAAAACATTAAACTGCCCCTAATCTACAGCATTTACGAGTATGAAATTAGAATCAATCAGTAATCGTATTTACTGACCAGTAATAGAAAAATCTCCAGTCAATGCAATAAAAATTGTTCATCTTTATCAGTGTTTTAATTAATTAGAATCGTCTCACTCAAGCAACTGATTAAGATCTATTCAGTTAAAATGTGTAATGAATGAATTATCTGGCAATTAACTAAACTAAAATCAGACTAACCTAAATGAGCTAATGTTATAATTGATCAATCATTCATAAGACAATGCTCAATTAATCGGGTAATGCCAGAGTTAGTTACTTAAATATTACAAATACTTAGTAACAAATTATTAATTAATTTCTCGATCTGACAATCACTTAAAGGTTAGGTAGAACACCCTGCCACCATAACTTTTTCTTTCGGTTCACACTATTGCGGGCTGTGCGGCCCACCTTTGCTAGGGCATGGCTGCCCATTCATTTGAATGGGCTACTTTTCTCACAGAAAAAAAGGTGCATGTACCTTTTTTAAAATGCGGCCACCGCATGGTCTTTTTGACCATGAGATGTTTCTGCGGTTCCCACATCTGAAAACACACTGCGGGCTGAAATGCATGGGGGGCATATAGAATAAATGGCAGCCCCAAACATCTCATAAGAGCAGCACGATTTGGCTGCGGGTGGTTTTGGGTGCTGGAACAGAAGCAATTACTGCACTTGCCAGCAGCCTGCACAGTGTGAACCGAGCCTGAGGGCTTGATTCTACTAGTTGCCTTTTCCTGCATGTTTAACACATGCAGATTGATGGACATGCTGGAACTGTACTGTCAGGTCCCATTCACACCAGTACTTTTTATTGAAATGTATTAGAAAGGTTCTGCATGCTACATTTTCCATGTATTGGTGAATGAAGCCCTTAGAATCACAGCACAGTAGGGTAACCTAATAATACAGGAAACCATGGAATGAGCTCAGGATCGGGGTTATTGTCAGTAGCAAGTTGGGTCTTAATTTTCAACTTTTGTAAAATTGTAACAAGAGTTGTTATTTTTCACTATGGGCAATAACTGCTAATTTTTGCTCACTCAAATATATTTTCTGAGTTTCATGAGTAACATAGTTACATAGTTAGTTTGGTTGAAAAAAGACACAAGTCCATGCAGTTCAACCCACAGAGAAATAAAAAAAATCACCCCCCTGTGTGTCTACTAATGCAGAATAAAACCCTCTTCAGTGTGAATCAGCCCTCAATTTTTAAGGTAGTAAATTCTAATGATAGTTGAGATTGTTGAGATACCGGTATGTCTTTTCAATCACACCACCCTGGTCCCATGCATACTGGCCAGGCATAATTACACCAACATCAAATCATATGTAAACCCAATCAATAAAGTCTTGCATAATTTTTAATATGATAAGGTCATTTCAAAAGTCATGTTAAATCTTTTTTAATTCTACAGCATTCATTAAAATAATACTTTGCACTCTTGACATAAAGGTCCCTTTCAACCACTTTCTTTTGTGTAGTCATAATGCTCGGTCTTCTGTATCACAATGGTTCTCTTGTGTTATCATCCTTTAACTTAGGCTTTCATATTAGGCAAACATGTTTCATGACAAAGACCATCCTAAGCCACTAATGGAGTGGTTGTATGTAGACAATAAATGGTTTCAGAGAGGTCAGAGAAGATCAATAACACTAAGAGGGCAGCACAGTGGTACATGTTCTCCCTGTGCCTGTGTGTGTTTCCTCTCACACTCCAAAGACATGCTGGTAGGTTAATTGGCTTCTGTCTAAATTGTATGGGAGTTAGGGACCTTAGGTTGTAAACTCCTCAAACGCAGGGACTAATGTGCATGTACAATATATACTGTATTTAAAAGGCTGCATAAAATGACAGTGCTATATAAGTATCTTAATTTTCACAAATAAATGAATGAAAAAGAGGAAAACATTTTAAAAGTGTCCTTTATATCAAATAATGAAAATTGTGTATGCTCCACAATGGCTAAGAAAAAAAAAAAAAAAAACACCTAGTTAGGGTAGAAATTTAAGTGCTACTAAACCCACAACAGTAAAATCAGTGTACGCAGAAATGTATACTTGTTATATTTACTGTGGAACCTAAGGAGTTAATCCTCTGCATTGTGAAAAAAGTCTGTCCTGTCTTCTCTGATCCTCCCCTTCTTTTACTGTCCCCAATCCATCTGCTGATAGGAGGCACTCTGCGCATACTCAGTTTGGTGTGTATTGCTAGAGTATTTTTTTTTGGGGGGGAGCGTGCATGTGATCAGCACAGGGCCAATCGGCACTGTATAGGTCAGAGCTCATGCAGCCTCATAGGACAAGCAGAGGAGAATGAAAACTCCTCCTACAAGCTTTCACCAGTGCTCGGCTGTACACTGATAGAAGTCACAAGACTGCTGTACACTGCTGATGAGAAAAAGTACTTAGCAGTTTATATTTACAAAAATAATTGCATTTCCAAGTTCTGTGTACTGTTGAAGACCAGATATAGTGAATGCAATCTCATGGGTTTAGTAACACTTTAATGGAGAAGGACCAGGTGGAAATTGGTAGTGAAAATAGAGCTTTGGCTGTTGACTCAGGCAGAGAGCAGAAGTACACCAGAAAAAGGTTGTCCATGCACAGAAACACCAGAAAGAGGTTGTTCATGCACAAAGAAAGAAAAATGCAGGTGTGTCGGTGAAAACTGGAATAGGCACTGAGCAAGGGGAGATTTCGGAATAGTGCCCTGAAGCTCAACTTCAGGCTCTGGGTATCCCCCCTCTGCCCTATTGGAGCACCCTCACATCTATATAAGCGAAAACCTGTATACTAATCTCTTCCTCTTGCTGACCAACGTAATTAGTCATTTTTTCTCGCATTGACCACCAGTAAAAGTAGGAAGTCTTCCTTTCAATGATCCCCAATATAATAGGGTATTTCTCTCTCTCAATGACCGCCAATAGAATAATATATTGTGGAATGGAGAATGCAAGTGTCTTTACATCTTTGCTTTACAACATTTCACATGAAATGTGACTGAGCTCAGGAGGTCTAGTAAAGTCAGGATTCATGTATTATAGTCAGAAAAGAAGGTCCAGTCATATCTGGATACAGGGTTCTCAAATCACCAAACCACCAAGAGTGGCACAGTGCATATTCCAAACATATTCCTGATGGTTATACGCTGTAAGCTGTGTCGTATGTTATGTGCTTTTGACCATTGCACTCTATACATAATGTTGCAGGTCATTGAGCCCTAACCCAGGGGCGGACTGACCATTCGGGCACTCAGGCACTGCCTGAGGGCCCAGGGTCAGTAGGGGGTTCCATGAGATGCCCCTGGTATGTTTCATAGGCTTTTTTGGGTGTGGTTTGAGTGATGACAAGGACACAGGGGCCCCATGATTCCCTATTGCCCAGGGGCCCCATGAGTTGTCAGTCCATCCCTGCCCTTACCACTGCACTTTGTAAGCTGTGCTATGTGTTACATACTCCTGACTGATGTACTTTATAGGCTGCACTGTATATTGCACACTCCTGACTGCTGGACTTTTTAAACTGGGAAGTAATGTACACACATTCCATCTCTTTACACTGTGCATTATGTTGTATGTTTCATATTTCTGACTGCATTTTATTAATAGTATTGAGCAAATTAGACAACATTTGCTTTGCCCTGCATTTGAAAAATGAATTATAAAATATGGCAAACTCAAACTGTTAAGCAAGTCAGGCAAGTTTTTGATACCCAAATAATAGAACTCTGGGCAAAGCTGAGATATACCTTTGCTAATAAAAAAAAAAATCTATAGCAGGGGAGGGGCTTTTTCATCTGACTTCGATGGTAACAAGGCAAATACATAAATCCTTTTAATTACCAGTTTGGAGAATGCCTTTAAGCTAAATGCTGTTTTATGGGGCCACCACAATTTTCAAGTACAGCTTCAGCCATAGCAATCTTTGACAGCACATACAGTATTTGGCTGTGGACCTATTTTTTTAACTTTAAAACATAATAATTTACAGTTGACTTACAGACAGCAGCAGAACCCCAACTTTATATTGTTTGACTAGCTATATATGTGTAGATTTACCCTTTTATTGGTTACAATAAAGGGAATTGGGTGCTGAGAATATAAGGTGATAGTGTAAAGTAGGCTTATACTTTTTTTTTACATTTAAAATGATGTAGTGCAAAAAAAAAAACAGATTACTGCAATCCAAAGGTTTTAAGACTGCTAAGACAGAAATGTAGCATGATATAATGCAGACTCGCCAACATTCTGGAACCCGGCATTCCATGTTTTTTTTTTTTGCGATTTTGTGACTGGATAATTTTAAGTTGTTCGAAATCTTTTTATTACATTAGCAAATCATCTCCATAGCATTCAAGAGTATAAAATCTTATCCCACATTTTTATACCCCTACCTGTACTTAGACCTTTAAACACAACTGTGGTTTTCATTATCAGGTTACTGCTTCTTTCATATACAAGGTTTGGATTAGGTTCTGAAAGAGTACACTGCCCGGAGAGGATTTTCAGCAGTGACCTTTATTCTAATAGATTCTAAATATAAAATATTTGTTCTGCTTAGGTGATTCACCTGGATCACTAGATAAGATCATATTGTATTTGTTCGTGTTGCCTGGACATCATGGTAAAAATGGCTTAACAGCCCCTGTATTACTATTTACAGTTCCAATGCTTTTTCAGTTTTCGACGAGATTGATGGGAAAAATGGAAGCATGTGGCTAGTTTTATACAATTATTCAAACTATAGTACTATGCAGGCCATAGAAAGTTGTGTATTAAAATTCAGAATTCAGTACATGCTGCTTCTCCTATCATACTCTATTACAATTATCATTGTATTTTTAAGACAAGCACTTGCAAGTCTTTACACATATAACATATTTCTAAAGCACTCTAGACGTTTACTGCAATTTCAGTCAGATGTACTAATACCTATGTAGCACTACCCTCTTAAGGATTGCTGAGTAGCTTTTGGGGGTCCCTGTCAATCTGGACCTCTTGTTGAAAGCCGAACTTCTGCTGACACTACCGTGCTCTCGTGACCCAGATAAATCACATCTGTAGAATGGACTCACACACAGAGTAGTATAAACCAAAATGAAGCTTATATTGGATTTGGAGGTAACCGAGCCAAGAAAAACAAAACAACACTGGTATTGGTAGCAAATCTGATCACTCTTGGAAACTGTGAACAAAAGTAGCAAGATTCACAATAGAACAACAGTATATGTTAGCATGGCCTGCTTTTAGAAATAATCCACTGCCTCCAGTCTGAAGGGACTGTAAAATCTCCAGTTAGCAGGAATGACTATCAATAACAGATAAGCTCACTGTGGGTCCTCAGAACCAGATAACAAGGATTAAATGTGAAATAAAGAGAATTTTCAGTTATAATTGGTGGTGTCCCCTTTAAAAACTCTATAATGTCTTCTGCACGCCTGTTGGGGCCCAATTTGTATTAAGTTGTGCCAAGGGAGGGATGAGAGTCAGGGTGGTCCCATCAAAGATAGTGAAAGAAAAGGAAAAGATTCAACACTTCCCTGATTGATGGTAAAGAATTAGTGCAAGGCTCCCTTTAAGAGCTCTAACCATGAATTGAGCTTGGAGTAGTAAATAGCAACAATTAACTAAATGTCTATGGACAAAGACAACTCCCTCTGAATGTTAAAGGCAAAAGATGAACAGCAGTAGGAATCCTGTTCTGCAGAGAAGGAAATGGACTTGTTGATTTAGTTGGCACTGCTGTAACCTGCGGTCAGCCTGAGCAATAACTGTACTGCGGATATATTCCAATGGCACCAGTATATTTAGGCCACAAATTGAGGCAACTGTATATAATGTTCACAACTATGTGCGAGCAGATAACTGAAGTGATGAACTATCAATGTTTACTTTGTTAGTGGATGCATGGGCCCTCTCTCACCCAATCAATGTGGTTCGGCGGATTGCCGCAATCTGTCTTTTCCCGATGGATAGAGACAGTCCCCAGGCACCCTGGTTCAGACTTGGTGTCCCGCTCAATCTCCTGCAGAGTGGCCTGCTTAGCAACATGGCAAGCTGGGTGGTCAATGAGTCCTTTCCACTCTCTCCAATCCTGGCTCCGTGGCCTAGTTCAGTGTTTCAACCGTTAGCACACCTCCTTCCCCTTCAATCTCCCTCCGCACTCTCCTCGCCAATCTCCCGGCTTTGATATTTATATGCCCTTGCCCACATTTTACCTCTCCTGGGAAATGTAGTCCTAGGCACTCTGCTTATTAGCCAAGTCCTGCTGTTCAGAAATAATACATGTTCCAGAGGGCTGTTCTGTTCATCTGAGTAACCCTGAATAGCAGGCCACCACCATCTAATGTCCACTTTAATGTATTGAAAGTAATAACATTTCAAGGGGTTACACCTACATTTTAGAAATGCTATTCTAGGAATCTTCAAATTGAATGAACATTTATAAATAATAAGGTATTATTAAAGTGGCTGTAAAGGCATAAGGTTTTTTACCTTCATGCATCCTATGCATGAAGGTAAAAAAAACCTTCAATGTGTAGATCTCCCCACAGCCCTCCCTAATACCTACCTGACCCCGATCCCAATCCAGCAACATGCAGAAGAGCAGCAGCTCTCTGGATCTCTCTCTCCTCATTGGATGTATGTCAAACTTACAGAAGGATTTTATTTTGGTTTTATTGGATTTCGTGATGACAAGGAACTACTTCTGGTTCAATTACCAATTTTACTTACAGATAAAGGGCGTTGCTATGGGGGCTAAGTTTGCCCCCAGCCTGGCAAATCTTTTTATGGCCAGATGGGAGGAGGATGTCATCTATGCAAGAGACTGGCCCGAGCTCTCTTTTTACCGTAGATACATAGATGACATCCTCCTCATATGGAATGGTGAAGAGCAGGCCCTTTTAAATTTCTTCACCACTCTGAATTTTAATTCACAAAATATTAAACTTACTTTTGAATATAGCCAAACAAGTGTCAACTTTTTAGATCTGGTTTTAATGAATCAAAACGGTAAAATAACAACGGAAACATATTTTAAACCAACTGACAGAAATGGTTTTATCCCAACAGACAGTTGCCATCATCCTGCATGGCTACGAAATATCCCAAAAGGACAGTTCTCAAGGATTAAACGCAACTGTATGGATATAGATACATATTATAAACAAGCATCAATTATCAAGAATAAATTTGTAGAAAAAGGTTATGATGAACCTACACTCAATCTAACTATTGACACCATAGGGAAATCCGACAGAAATTTGATGCTTAGTGACACCTTTACACAAAAACCACAAAAAAATCTGTCCTTTTATCACCAATTACTCTACACAGTATAAGACGATAACTAAAATTATCAATAGCAATTGGAATATTTTAAAATCCGATCCAGTTCTGAATTCATTATTACCGGAAAAAAACAGAAATTATCTTTAGGAAAGCAACACCACTCAGAAACAAAATAGCTCCCAACACTGTGGATCCTCCTAAAAATATGACTATGTTCACCCATTTAAAAGGTTTCTATCCCTGCAAAAAATGCATTATTTGCCAATGAAAAAAAAAAAATAATAATAATGCAATAGTCTTTAGATGTGGTGGCTGCATTCATTTTCTTTTTTTATCAAACACAGAAAAATATCTGTTGCTTTTTGCTACATCGTCATTTGGTGTGAGCTGTGAGAGAATGAAAACATGGAACCTCTATATATTTAGTGTTTAAACTACTAGTCCTATCAATCCACCATATAATGGTAATGAAGAGAGGAAGACATGTTTGAAATTCAGTCTGGGCAGCACCCATGGCTCCCTTCATTCTTTATATACAATGGTGAAATTATTTTAGCATTGAAGAAATGTGAAGTTTGTTGTTCAAAGGATTACCAAGTGAAAATCTTGTGAAAAGCCTGAACAGAAAACGAATGAAGCCATCATATCTTAGGACTAGTAAGATTTACACCTCCATATTGCACATAGTGTGACCTCCAATGTTCCCTGCTATCTATGCTCTTATTCCCACACGCACTAGAACCGACAGTCAATTTGATGGCTAAAGTCCTGGTATGTGTATCCAGGGGTGGACTGACCATTTGGTAAACTCGGGCACTGCCCGAGGGCCTGGGGTCAGTAGGGGGCCCCATGAAATGCCCCTGGTACCTTTTTCATAGGCTTTTTTGAGTTTGGGCAAGGACACAAAGGCCCCATGATCCCCTATTGCCCGGGGGCCCCATGAGTTGTCAGTCCACCCCTGTGTGTATCTTAAATATTGTAAGCGGCTTTCTGGTGTTGATTAATAAATACAATTTTACCACTGTATGACTTTCTTAACAATTGAAGTTGACATTGATAGGTGGCAGGTTTCCAACAAACCTATAAATTCTAGTAAGAAAAATATAAAAGTACAATTATTTTCTGTTGATCTTCTGATTTGGCCTAATAAACTCTTTCTTCCGCTTTCCCTTTTTTTAAATTATTAATTTTTTACATTTTGTGTAAGCATGCACATGTTTTTTTTAATATATTTTTTTTAATTTCACTAATTCCATTTTTTTGTGGCATGTTGATAAGAATGCATGTACAGTATATAATTTTAACATATTTCATACCTACATATGTTGTTCTAGAAACATAATACTAGTCTGTTATATCATAATAAACAAGGCAAACTGCAGAATAAATGTGTATTATGTATCAAGAGTAACCATAGTTTTAAATTAGTGGTTGACAGAAAAATAATATCTTTTCTATCTCTTCCTTCCGTTTGCCTCTATTTGTAAAATACAAAGAAAAATGGAATAATTATTGAAAGAGAATGCCACTAAAAGAAAACCTTGTATGCTGAAAAAAACAATTGTTTTGAAACATTTTATTAGGTTGTAGAAATAAATAGAGAAAAAAATAGAAAAACATAGTTATTTATCAAGCTTTAAAAATAAATACAGGAAAAATAGAAGAAAACAATAAAGCCCTACAAAACAAGCAGCTAAATCCTCAAATATATAAAATTTCAGTATCTTAAAAAATGACACCATAGTTGAAATGTGATAAATGCTCCTGTTAGTAAAAGGTAAATACTGTAGCTGTGAGAATGGCTTACATTTTTTAATTTTGTAGAATCTCATATTCTCTCTCTCTCTCTCTCTCTCTCTCTCTCTCTCTCGCTCTCTCTCTATATATACATACATACACACTATATTGCCAAAAGTATTGGGACACCAAATCATTGGATTCAGGTGTTCCAATCACCTCCATGGCCACAGGAGTATGAAATCAAGTACCTAGGCATGCAGAATGCTTCTGTAGACATTTGTGAAAGAATGGGTCGTTCTCAGGAGCTCAATGAATTTAAGCATGGTACTATCATAGGTTGCCACCTGTGCAATAAGTCCATCCATGAAATGTCCTTGCTACTAAATATTCCATGGTCAACTGTTAGTGAAGAGGAGTGGAGATGTGTTCTCTGAAGTGATGAATCACGCCTCTCTGACAATCCGATGGATGTGTCTGATGATGGTTTGCCGGTTGCCAGAAGAACTGTACTTGCCTGACTGCATTGTGCCAAATGCAAAGTTTGGTGGGGGGGGTTATGGTGTGGGGTTGTTTTTCAGGGGTTAGGCTTGGCCCCTTAGTTCCAGTGAAGGGAGCTCTTAAGGCGTCAATTTCACACTCCCAACTTTGTGGAAACAGTTTGGGGATGGCCCCTTCCTGTTCCAACATGACCGTGCACCAGTGCACAAAAGAAAGTCCATAAAGACATGGATGAGTGCATTTTGGGTGGAGGAACTTGACTGGCCTCAACCTGATAGAACACGTTTGGGATAAATTAGAGCGGAGACTACGAGCCAGGCCTTCTCGTCCGACATCAGTGTCTGACCCCACATTGCCTCTGAAGAATGGTCAGACATTCCCATAGACACACTCCTAAACATTGTGGACAGCCTTCCCAGAATAGTTGAAGCTGTATAGTTGCAAAGGGTGGGCCAACTCAATATTGAACCCTATGGACTAAGACTGGATGTCATTAAATTTCATGTGTGTGTAAAGGCAGACACCCCAATACGTTTAGCAATATAGTGTATAGATCTTAATATATATATAAATAGTATACTACTCTATATCCAATGTGTGTATGAGTAGGATGATATACTGATTTTCTGTTATACTATCGCTATTATTATATTGCAGAGCAATCAACTTCTACAGTGCTACATATTGTTTTTTAAAATATAAACATCCCTTACATTTCCCAGTGGTTTGGGTAGAGACAGATGAAGCAATTGCAGCTATATTTTAATATAATCTATTGAGACACAGTCTAGAATGTTGCTGTTTCCTTTATTATGCTTTGCTATGAGTGTATGTACAGCTTATCAGCAGAAACACATACTGTAGACATTTATTATAATGGCCACCATTAGTGTTGACCAGACTAATGTACCATGCATGTTGCTTTGCTCCCTTATAGTCTATCATCACCCTCTGCCATGCATGCCATTTATGACCCCAGCACAAATAATATTGCCACAGGTCAAGTGTGACTTTTGACACATTGTCATCACTACTTGTTAAAACATATAACAGAAATGCACAACACTTGTCTTTAAAAGTATAGGTGAGGTGTTATATCTGACCAACAGCCATCACTACAGGTCAGAAGTGACATTTGACACATCAAAGTCATTGCAGATAACAAGTCACCCATAAAACCGCCCCTCAGATTGTAGAAGATTATCTTAAAGGCTTACAATGTTTTCCAGTAAAATCTTTAAAAGGTAAAACATTGTACAAATCAGACACCTGAAAGTCATGCCCAAGTGATCATAAAGCAGCTATAAAGGCATAAATAAGGTCCAAACTGTTTTTCTCTTTGGTTTTTGATAGTTTGGGGAAGGGTTAGAACCTTCCCGATGGTCAGCAACCATGGCACAGGAAATGCACATACATTTTATGCCTCAATGATATATTAAAATTCTGTCTACATTAATGCTACAATAAATAATGTCTATTTAAATGGCAGATCAAATTTTATACTTTTGTTAGTGGTCTTTGTGAACATGGCAATGGAGATTTTCCTGCTCGAAGAACAACAATCTAAGTGCAACAGCTGAAAGTGATCATTACTGAGGTCAATCAACTCTGCATTTAACACTTAACACACAAACAGTAGCTGCTACCATGTTTTTCACAGAAACACGCACCATTCAGAGTATCTGTTATAGAAATTCTGACCTTTAAATATGGTAATGTTTTTCAAAAATGCATGGATTATTTAAGTTATTATTCATCATAGAAAATTTAGAAAATCAGATTAATGATTTTAACATATAATTTTTATTGAAGGAAACAAAAAGAAACAGGGCAAATATTTATGGGAAATTATACTATTAAATATGACAACAACAGTAAAAAATATGGGATAGTAAACAAAAAGTACTTAAAGGCTAATTTCCAACTTTTAAAAGCATCTTTTTGCAAGTAAAAAAAAATGTGCTTTTATAATTTTTTTTTCCACTAGCCTGTAAGGCATTTCACACACAATCAGCAGATGTTGGGTGCAATGCCAGGCTCCTGAAGACTCTCAGTACACAGTATGCCGTTACCCATCCTGTAATGCGCAGACAGTTACTGAATTGCAGGGGGAATCAATGAACTATGAGAGCATTCACGAAGCCCCCATAGTTCATTAAAAACCACAAGCCTTTGGCCGCGGCAGCTGACAGTACTTGTAGATAATTTATTTACATTACTCTGTAAATGAAATGATGGAGATGGGCTGTTTTTAAATTCTGACAGCGGGTGCAGGGAGAAGATCTCCCACCAGCTGTCACAGGGAAGGGGGATCGGGGGAGAGGCAGCAGGAGCTGGAAATACAAGTGAAACATATAACATGTTCCAAAGGTAAACTTATCCTTTAACAAAATTTTCCTGGTCTTTGGTTCCCAGCAGAACTCAGTTCATTCTAGCCTAGGTCTAATTCAGAGTCACTGGCCCTCAGAGATGATCTCAGCATTTGTGCATTGTTTCAGTGGAAAATTAAGAGCTCCAAGTTGCCAATGTAAGCAGTGTTTTGTGGATACTCTAGAGCAGGGGTATTGAATTAAAATTCACAGGGGTCCAGTCATTAAAATTTTCTTCTAGCAGAGGTCTGAATCTCATGTTTATGGTATGCCTCAGATCATTCACATTACAGTCCCTTGGATATAACTCAATCTCCAAATGGACACAGAAACGAATAGCAAGAAATCCTAAAAAAAGTTATGATGAAATTAACAAATGCATTTGTTTCATTCTGATGGCACCGATTCACATGATGTGATAGTAGTTCAGGCCTATGGGGAAATAAATTAAATTTTTGAATTTGCTCGATAATTCGGATTCAGCTAACACATGGATCCAAATTTTTGTTCCATTCGTTAATTTGGATGCACATAACGTCAGTCGATATTGTTCAATCAGCTTATGCCATTTCTCTTGTGGGTTGGACTAGCATCCAAAAATATAGAATCCGTCCTATTCCAATCTGTCCAATTTGATAATATGTCAAATATATAGCATATTTTCTGGGGAAAACTGTAAAGTGTACAAAACAAATGATGAAGATTAAAAAAAAAGTGAATTTCAAAAGGAATTGGGTCAACATAACGAATATAATAAAACAAAATTCTTCAATTAACAAATGCATCCAAAATGAAACAAAGCAAAAATGTCTGGGGTGCACATACAGTCATGGCCGAAATTGTTGGCACCCTTGATATTTCTCCAGGAAATCATGTATTTCTCACGAAACGTATTGCATTAACACATTTTTGCTATACACATGTTTATTCCCTTTGTGTGTATTGGGACAAAACAAAAAAAGGGAGGAAAGAAAGCAAATTCGACATAATGTCACACAAACCTCCAAAAATGGGCTGGACAAAAGTATTGGCACCCTTTCACAACTGCGGATAAATAAGAATGTTACAAGCATGTGATGCTCCTGTAAACTCACCTGGGCAAGTAACAGGTGTGGGCAATATAGAAATCACACCTGAAAGCAGATAAAAAGGAGAGACGTTCACTTAACCTTTGCATTGTGTGTCTGTCTGTGCCACACTAAGCATGGACAACAGAAAGAGGAGACGAGAACTGTCTGAGGACCTGAGAACCAAAATTGTGGCAAAATATCAACAATCTCAAGGTTACAAGTCCATCTCCAGAGAACTAGATTTGCCTTTGTCCACAGTGCGCAAC